TGCTGACCATCGGAACCCCTGGGTAGGCCTTTGGAGGCGTGGAGTGCGTTTACCCAGAGGAGCACGCGCATGCGTTCGATATAATCTACGTTTGGAGATAGCAGTTTCATCTGCCACAAAGAAACATGTTAGTACGAGTCAGAAAAATCAAGATCACACTAAACTGTTCAGACTTACCAACAAACACAAGGCACCGAGGATCAATCTGTGAAATCTCCTCAATATAAGCCCCACGCGCGATTGCTGACTGGTTCGGATGAACGGTGCGGGACTTTTTACGAGTCCAAGCAAGACAAGATCACAGTTCCGTTGAGAGAGTCTTCAGAGAAACATCTCTTCCAAAAGCATCTCGAATCTTCGCCTGGAGCTCATCGAGATAAAGGGTGGGATCAAGTTCAAGAGCCTCCAGTACGAAATGTTTCTCAGCGTCTCCAAGAGCCGATGGTGCGCCGGGTTGCATCAGGTCCATAGGATTTGTGACCACAGCACGAGTCGTCCGATACAGTTCGAACCAACGACGGACAGTCGTCAGTGAGAGATCGATTCCAGTCGACCGTACAATCTCCGGGAACGTCAATCCTCGCAAGATCATCCGTAAAACGACCAACTTGATGTCCGTGCTGTACAAAGTTTTCGGCATGTTGAGATTGGAATTGAGAGATTTGTTGGAGTTGGAAAATGAGAGGTTTGTTGGAAGGAGGAGAAGAAACGTTGATCTGAGACAAATGAGAATGAAAAATCGATTATGACGCCAAAAACGTAAGATTTTAAAAAACCGACGAAATTTCAAAAATCTGATGAATTGGAAACCATGATGCGGCGAGGGGAGGAAGAGGAGAAACTGGGAGAAACTGGAAAGGAGGAAAGAGGGGATTTCGAAAAGTGAATGGGGTTTGTACCCTTTGTACTGATACATGTATAGTATGTACAAAGGGTTTCGAAAAAGGGCTTCGAAGATGTTTTTGTGAAAATCGTGAGACCCGTCGACTCGGAGAAATGTCAATGGAAACTATTTTATCTCACGGTACGCAAGGTCAAAAAAAAAAAAACGATTTTTTTTAGTTTTTGCCATATCTGGATTAAAACTCGACACAACACAAAAAAAAAAAAATACCGATGATTCTCACAACGGCTGTAATTCCCTGCACGTTATCTGTTTAAGCCTTTAGCCTCATCCAAGTCCACTGTCGACTCCCATGCAGTGGCTGTTGTTTGCGCCAGATATAATATCCATTTGAATCTTCAAACGTTCAACATCCGCCTTGAGATAGTTGGTGTGGGACTTTGATCAGCTGACCTCGGCTCAACGATTTCGTTTTATGTATCTGTCATTTATAAATTATGCACCTTGTTGGAAGTTGACCTTGGCTCGATGGATTTCCCAGGATTTCCTGCTAGCTTTTCCATCTATATATATACCCTTCAAAAAATATAAAATCCAGATATCTCTTCGACTTCCTCAGCCAGCCTCAGTCCTTGTCTTTCAAATCCTTCTTACTTTTCCAATTACATACTATTGTTCGCGTATACATATCCTAGCCTTTTCCATCATGAGATCTTTCGTTCTTCTTGGATTCCTGTTACAAGTCTTATTTGTATTAAGTTATCCTGAATCCATCAAGAGCCTAGAAAGACGTGACTTGAGCGGTCTGCAATCGATCAACGCTCAACCTCGCGGGCCAACCCGGTGGTTTGTCCAAATGGTGACAAATATGATTTGAACGATTACAATAAGTGTGTCATCATTTCTTGTCAACTTTGAAGTCGTTCTCTCTGCTTTACCAATTGAACTGACTAAAACTTTTTACACGTAACTTGATTAGAGCGCTTACCGCTTTAGTCCAACGTAAGGTCAAATGTGTTTACTATTCCAACTTGGCTGTGAGTATGGTTTCCACTCAACCGACTGAGAAGCTAGAAGGTCCCGAGTTGACTGGCTGATCGACTCATTTCAAACAGATGGTGGTGTTCGACCAGGATGGAAATCCGGCCACATTTACGGAGTGAGTGGCCCATTTAATGACTGGAACGATGTGGATATCCCCAAAGATCAATATGAACCCATTCTTCTTCATTCTGTCAGCTCCGAACCCTCAACCATTAGAAATTGGTATGACTCTCAGATCAGTCAGCAATGTGAGACTCAAAGGCCAGTTAGGGTTGTAAGTCTTACTCGTCTAGACTCTCCTACAAGTTAACACTAAGCCAGAAATCTAACTTTCTTCCAAACTGATACCGATTGATACATAGCGAAGCAAGCAACCACCACTTCGCCCGGATGATTCCTTGAACATTGGAACCGCGTTCTTCAATGACTATGCCGCTGACAAGCAAGTCGTGAACTGTAATGATGAGGATGACGCTTACATACGTAATTACTTGGCTTCCTTCTGAAAGACATACATGATTGTGATCACAATTGCTAGTAGTAAATTCCTTACCTTACAAATCACAAGCGTGACCCTTACATGTAGTATTTGGATGCATGTTAGGGGCTCATGTTGGAGTGTTTCCAGTTCATGGTATTCTTTATCTCTCTTCTTTATCAGTTGTTATTCTATCTTGGCTTCTTCAATCTGATCATGAGCCTTATGAACTAGGCCTAGTTATTGTTGAAGTTCATCTTGATTCCATGTGCAACTGTCTGAACCCAACCTAGGGAGTATTGATGTAGTTTCTTACAGAAACTTTCAATATTATCAGTGAATTACATTAAGACTAGCGCTTAGACAGGCTTGCCCGCCTTTAAAGTCAATAAGTAGAGTGTTGATCCTTATGGTTCATATGGCTGGAGTCTTGAGTCAGTCACAACATTTATGATGCTTTGATCTCTTTGGC